TCGGGTCAAGTACATACCAAAATAGTTATGGACTTAGACACTAATCCAACAGTTATATCTTAGCTCCATGGAGGTCCCTTGTTCATAAAAATGCAAACTTTATGAAAGATATTAGTCAATACAAGTGTTAAGAGCTTTATTAAGCTTCTTTTTAAGTGTTAAGTCTCATTAAGCCATGCATGGGTATAAAGTTGCAAACTTTATGTATTAAGTCACCCTTAGGGACCAGATCTGAGAGTTTGGAAAAGGGCTTAACTGTTAAAGTGCTTAATGCAATGGTTTGGGAATCCAAGGCACACGTTGGGCGTACTAGCTGAGTACGCTCCCGTGTATTCAGTGGATGGACGCATGGGCTTAACTATGTCACATAACTCTAATTACCACTCAAGGTAAAGTATAGTGAGAAGACTCACCTCAGATGTCTCAGTAAATCCCTGACTCAGTAGCAGTATAGTCTAGCCTCTGCCTAATCACATAAAGTAAGATACGCTCATAAATATAACTCTCGAGACTAGACCCACCCCTCTCTTAGCATTCTCAGATGGGTAAAACACCATTTTACCCCTCTCTTGACTTAAAGACCCCATTGTTGACCAATCCCTAAAAGTTAACAAAGTCAATGGTCAAACTTTGACCTGACTCGTCGAGTGCACTTGGGCGACTCAGCGAGTCTACACGTGTCCACTAACTCTCTAGCCTCTCATGACACGTCAAGCCTCCCCCTGCTCGACAGGTTACACCTGGCATGAATCGCGGGGCCACCCCGACTCAACTCGTTGAGTTCAATTATGAACTCGACGAGTTCCACCTGTAACCCTCTACCCCCTTCTGACTCACCAAGTCATTCCCCCAACTCGACCAGTTACTTACTGAGTGACTTACGGGAAACCCTAACCCTACTCGCCGAGTCTGTTCTTGGGACTCGGCAAGTTCATGCCATGCTCGAGCTAAAATGAGCTCCTGAGGTCAGATCCGTTCCTCTAACTCATAAATCTAGCCTCCTAAAGCAATAAAAACACGTAAAGTTTGGATCTTGATGCCCATGCAAGGACCCCATGGCTCTATTTGAAGAAATGGCCTCAATATGCCATCCAAAACTCATATCTCTCCAAAACACTCAATAAAGATCAAGGATTTAAGGTCTCAACACAAGAAGGGACCAAATGCACTAACAATCATACTCTAAATGGGCTAGAAACCCTAACTTTCAAGGATTAACACCCCAAATTGAAGAAGGATTGAATATGTACCTCAAGATGGAGTCCTTAAGCTCTGAAATCCACAGATTAGCTCCCTCCTCAGCTTCCTCTTGCCATGGTCACCTTCTTCTTGCAAAATCACCCACACAAGGATCAAAAATGGCTTCCTTTCTCTCTCAAAACACTCAAACACTCTGGGGTCTCTCTCTCTATCAACTGGTAGCCGCAAATAAAGGCCATAAGGGCCTTTAAATAGGTCTCAAACCCCGGAAATTAGGGTTTCATTAAACAGCGCGGACTCGTCGAGTCCACTAGTCGACTCGCCGAGTCCGGTCATTAACCTGGATGAAAATTCGCGACTCTACTCGGCGAGTCTAAGCATCAACTCGCCGAGTCTCTCTCAAAATCTCTAAAAATAATAATTATATAATGTACCTGAAAATCCGGATGTTACACATTCCGAGCAATAAATGCCATAGATTCTTGACATTATTTCGGACCCTTATTCCGAAACCCCTAAAACGTCCCAAAAATACAAACCAAAAATTTCGTTTTCAAAATCATTTAGCAAACATAATAACATCTCCATAATATAAAATCATAAAACATGTATCTCCAGAATCACATAAAACTGTCAACATATCACAATCTCAACCAAAATATCAGAGTAGACTCCCGGGCTAAGAAAGATTGTGGTGTGTGTTATGTCATTAGCTCGAACCCTTCCCTTTGCTAGATGAAGTACCTAAAACCAAAACTAAAACTGTAAGCACGAAGCTTAGTGAGCTCCCCTAAACTACCACATACCATACAAAGCACATACGACAAATAATGGGCCCCACCCACTGCATTAGGCCCCACCCGGCATCAGACCGAAGTCCGAAATAACTTGGGCCCCGCCCACTACATCGGGCCCTGTACGGCATCGGACTGAGTCCGGAATAACTTGGTCCTCGCCCACTACATCAGGCCTTGTCCGGCATCGGACAAAAGTTTAGAATAAACTGAATCATACCATAAACTCAAACATATAACATACTCACACAAACTGCATCGGGGTTGCCCAACATCGGATCGGAGTCCGGAACACATAACACATACCATAAACATGCATGAATCACAAAGACATCAAGCATACAAAACTACTTATCGGGACCACCCCGACATTGGGCCGAAGTCCGGAATAAACTGAACATATTCTGGATTTTTTTGTGTGGGATCCATATACATACCATTTGGCTCCAGTATTGAGCTTGTGCCAGTTTTCATGTCCGGAATAATCAATTACGGACCAAAACGTATATATATATATATATATATATATATATATATATATATATATATATATATATATATATATATATAAGTAAGTTCATGCGAAAATATAAATATCCTGCGAAAACGCGAAAACAGATTTTATCTTATGAAAATTAAACACATGTACTATAAAAAAATAATTTTATTAGCAATAAATTAAAGATAGTAAGTTTGAATTGGATGGTGTTATGGTAATATAGATTTAAAGATGGTTTTATAATTATATTTTTTTCACGTCTTTAATCATTTTTAAATTCATGTTTTCATGATAAAAATGTTAAAAATCATACTTTGCTAATATGAAACAGTTTATCATCTATCATCGATTATCATCATGTATTTCAAAGTTTGGATGAATTATTTTCCAAAATATAATGTTGAGATGATATAATATCATAGGTTTTTCTTGTTTTCGCGTTTTCGCAAATTATTTGCATTTTCGCATGAACCCTCTCCTATATATATATAGTTAGATTACTCGATTTCCCCCTATTTCTTACGTCTAATTAATCATTCTATTATGTTTAATAATTGACATGCGTAATAATTTTTAAAAAGTAGTTAGATTATTCGATTTCCCTTCATATTAATCGTTTTATATATGTTTAATAATTGACATGTGTAATACATCATTATTTTTTCTTCATCTCATTTATTGATTGACATTTATCGTCATCCAATGAGTAGAAATACAAATAAAATTATTTGATAAGAAGATATTGAACCTTTTCTGATTTTATATTTGTTTGTTATGTTTGACCTACTCATACACTTTACAAAGGTCTTCTTTCCCCTAAAGGAAAAGGTTTACAACCAAACCATTATGTATGGGGACATTTATGGCATGTTTGGTCGTGTCCTAATATATTGTTTTCTATTAAAAAAAAAAAAAAAAAAAAAAAAAAAAAAAAAAAAAAATTCAAAGTAATTTTCTTTAATGTGTTAGGTTTATTACTTTTTGTAAACATTTTCCTTTGAACATAATTTAGTTGCTAATGTCATGAAACATCAAGTCGTTTGTAATTTTGATATAATTTAAGTGGTATATATATATATATATATATATATATATAGAAGTAGGTTCATGCGAAAATATAAATATCTTGCGAAAACGCGAAAACAGATTTTATCTTGTGAAAATCAAGCACATGTACTATAAAAAAATAAATTTATTAGCAATAAATTAAATATAGTAAGTTTACATTGGACGGTGTTATGGTAATATAGATTTAAAGACGGTTTTGATAATTATATTTTTTTACGTCCTTAATCATTTTTAAATTCATGTTTTCTTAATAAAAATGTTAAAAATCATACTTTGCTAATATGAAACAATTTATCATCTATCATCGATTATCATCATATATTTCAAAGTTTGGATGAATTATTTTCCAAAATATAATGTTGAGGTGACACAATATCATTTGTTTTCGCGTTTTCGCAAATTATTTGCATTTTCGCATGAACTCTCCCCTAATATATATATATATATATATATATATATATATATATATATATATATATATATATATATATATATATATATATATATATATATATATATTAATTTTTTTTACGTCCTTAATCATTTTTAAATTCATGTTTTCTTAATAAAAATGTTAAAAATCATACTTTGCTAATATGAAACAATTTATCATCTATCATCATATATTTCAAAGTTTGGATGAATTATTTTCCAAAATATAATGTTGAGGTGACACAATATCATTGGTTTTTCTTGTTTTCGCGTTTTCGCAAATTATTTGCATTTTCGCATGAACTCTCCCCTTATATATATATATATATATATATATATATATATATATATATATATATATATAGATATATATATTAATTTTTTGTAAGGATATCAATGAGGACAAACAAAACCGAGATTGCATCCCCCCGGCCCCGAAATCTCCATCCATTCCAAATTGTTTAGAAATAGTTGGTTTTATATTATATTTTAATCATTTTCAATGTTTAACTATTATATTTCAATTTCATCAGTGAAGACATCCCAAGCTTTACAATTTTTTGTATGTCGACAGTTTTTAGTGGTTTTGACATCCCATAAGAAATTAAAGTAGTCACAAAATAAAAGTTAGTAAGAGTTTTATTAGCTTTAATAATATTTTGACGCTAAACATTCAACTAAATTGACAGTTTTCTATTATAACCACTATAATCTGCTATAAGAGAATCATAAAAGATCAACGGGATGGGCATGGGAATAAATTGTAAAAAATTGGATGTAACTAAAATAAGCATTATAATTATAAAACCAAAACTACCATCACATTTAACCTTTTTCATTGCACATTACTGATAGTTGTTAATTATGATCTTCATTTGTTATTAACAATAGTTTATTCCTAATAAGAGAAATCAAACACAAAGATAAGAATATCACGAATTACTCATTTGTATTTATGACTATTCTACTTGATATTCTTTAGTATAAACAAACCATCATTAACATAACGCCATACAACGATTGGTTTACTATAAACTATATGACTACAATGCCAAACTATCTCCTCCAAGAAACAAGAGATCATGGAAGAAGAAAATGTTTCATTAATTTTTTTCATAGTAAGAAGAGAAAGAAATGAATAATTTTTACTTTCCCATGCTTCTACATTGATTATTTAAATCTTCATTCATTTGCGCCAATTTTGCCCTAGCTACTTCTTCCTTATACAAAACTTTTGCAAACACTTCTTTCACCTAATAACAAATAAGTTGAAAGCGTAATGTTAAATGGAATGATGTAATAAAGAAACGAATGAAAGCAGTCTTGAAAAGATGATGTAATACCTCATTAGAATCAGTACCAGTTCTTTCCAGAATGTTCCTGAGAGAATTCAAGTCATTGATGAGCTCTAAAGCAACCTCTTCAGCATCATGCATTTGGTTTCTTGAAAACTCAAATGATCTTTCTGCATGCAGACGAAAAGATGTGCAATTCAAACAGTTGCAGATCCCTCTGCATCCTCTTGGAGTTCTTTTCAAAATCCCATTTATAGAATTAGCTTTATTATTTTCAGGAGAATTTAGTGGTGCAATCTGCAATAAAGATTCATGTGTGCTTTCATTAATTGGCTTCTGATTGTCATTTGTATCAGGACTTGTTTCTTCAATACATTTCAAGTCTTTATTAAGCGATTCCTGTTCTTCAGCTAGTGATTTTGCCTCTATCTGTGAAGTTGGCTCCATGGATTTAGTATCTGGCCCATTAGAATCCAAAAGATTGTCATTTGAATCTGGAGTAATTGTTGTTATGCTTTCAAATGGTGATTTGACTGGAGTCAAAGTAGGGATAGGAGAATCTGATTTCTCATTTACAGTGGTTGATTGTATGGAGATACTAATATTCTGTTGGTTTTCCTCTGAGGTTTTCTCAGGTTCTGAAACACTCGTCAAGTATGGAAGCAACCTTCTATGACTAAATGATGTTGGAGTTTGCAGCATCTTCATTCTAGAAGATTGTTTAAGTACCTAACAAAGAAGAAAAAAACATACACAAGTAGGAGAAGATCAGCATTCAGCAATCAAGATCCAAATCAGGAACCTTTAAATAAAACATGAAACGGAAAGCAATCATATTGGAAAAATGAAGATTGAACATTACCATTTTGGATACTAATACTGAATCTGGTGGTGTCGTCTGCTCACACTCATCCAATTTGTCAATGACAGCATCTTCCAAACTGTTAAGATTGGGTACTGCATCGATATCTTTATCTTTAGAGGCAACCATGTTAGGAACAATGGTGCTTGATTTCTGTTGTTTGGTCATTGTGGCCTCAACTATCTCGAAACTTGGAGAATCTGAAGGAAATGAATGAAAAGAATTAGCAGACGCTAGTGGGATAACACAAGAGATTGATATGTGAATGTATAGATAAAGAAGTAATTGAGTTGCATATGTACCATCTGTTCCTATGTCCGATAGATACGGGAGCAACCTTCTATAGCTATTATATGAGCCCCGATTTATGAACACCTTCTTCTTGCTACGCGAACTCGTCAGCTGTCATTTGATTACACAAAGCGATAATCATTATATAGTTAATAATAATAAACAGCTTCAGTAAGATGTAAACATGTAATGGATTTGCAGTTGTCATGGATCTGAAGAAGTAACAATTACGTAAAATCATATCAATTAATCTTCTCTTACCGATGATTGGCCGACTTCGTTTGGAATAGAAATGACACCACTATTTTCGGCAGCGACATTGTTTTGGTCGGAATCTGAGACTCTTGGTGGCGTCTTAACAAACTCATCAGCTTCCATGACATTGTTCTCACTTACCAGAAAAGAATCCACAATATTTTGCAATCTAGGTTTCGGATCGATGACAACAGAGCTAGAAACCCCCAAATCACAATGACCAGGATTAACTTCAGAAGAAGACACGTTAGGGTTTCCATCATTCGTCTTACGAACATCAAAATCTGCTTTCAAATCGACTGCTCCGACACTTGAATCCTCTTCTGGAACCGTCATAGGAGAAAATATCCTCCTCACGCGAAGATCCTTGACTAAGACTTCACTTGTAATTGGATGAGCCGTGCTTCCCCACGGATCTTGGTCCATCGGTGAGTTCGTTGTCGCTTCAAGCGACAAGATAGGATTACTGGTTCGAACGGAGTCGGCTCCAGCGTAACCAGATCTGCGTTGGCGAACATAAATCTGCGAGTTGCTTCGAGTGAAAATGCCACCGGATTTCAATGACTGATGCTTCCGTTTCCGAGATCCGAGACCTGCTTCCATTGCCAAACCTTCTTCTGAGCTAATGTTTTTTCGGTGTTAGGGTTTTGTTTTGAATCGGAGGCTGTGGGAGGCGGCTAAAGAAGAGTGGAACCCGGCGGGAGTGACTTCAAAAGAATGTGACCGCATCAGAAATATCGCGGGAATGGCCGATAAGTTGGCGGGAAATCCATTTTGCTGAATCTTTAGCAACATAACCATTTCATTCCTCCTATTTGATTAATTTACTTGGGAGATCATGGTTTAATTAAAAATAAATAAATATAAAATTTTAATAATTTGAAAAGTTTAATTTTATAAAAAAAATAAAAAATATTTGAATTATTAAAATTAATGAAACTTTAATGTATTGAATATATTGCATATATAAATTCTTTCTGATAAATACTTTACATACATATTACCTTACACATTAAATGTGGAATTTTAATTTAATAAAATAAAAAATTTAATAAAATGACAAGTGGAAAATAGAAATTTTAAAAATTCTATAAAATATCATGTGTCCAAATGAATGAGAAGATGACATGTGGTAAAAAAACCTTCATTTATTATAGTAGATTTGGGCGCCCTAATTGGCATTGTGAGTTTTAACCAAGTTCTAAATAACGTAATGTGTGATTTTGCGGCAATATCAAATCTCAAATTTTTTCGAACTATAACGAGTCACGTCGTTTGTAAGGCGTGTCATAAGGCGGCAAATTTGTATATAATTAATATATATATATATGACTTAAGGCGGCAATTTGTCAAAGCTCAGCGGCAACTACAAGCCTTGGAGTCGTGACGAGTCATGGTGAGCTTTTTAGAACCTTGGTTTTAACAAGCTTAACTCTAAGGATATAATCGTTTTTTGTATAATTGAGGACGTATATATAATATAGCTATATGTTTGTTAAGAAGACAGTTAGTTAGTTATTCTCTATAAATGTAATGATTCATTAATCGTTTCAATGATAACAATGAACTCATATATGAAAAACTTCAATCATCACTCGATCTTCTCTCAATCTAACATGGTATCAGTTTGATCGTTCATCTTTTTCCGCAAAATTCACTATTTTTTTTTTCAATTTCGTTGTTCCAGTGACTTCATCATCTCAACAATCTCCTCAAACACCGGTCATTGATATCACTAGTCCTTAGTATCTTGGATCTTCTAATAACCCGAGTGAAGCTCTTGTTGCCTCTATCTTCAATGGTGTTGGCTTCTTTACATAGAAGAGATCTATGATCATATCTCTTTCGCCGAAAAACAAACTCTCCTTTGTTGATGGCACCATCTGTCCACCATCTAGTGATTCTCCTACATATTTTGGATGAGATCACGCTAATTTGATGGCTATAAGTTGGATTCTCAATTCATTTGATAAAAACACGTTCACGGATATGTTATATTTTGCCACTTCATGGTGGATGTTGGGAATCTGTATCGCCTTGGAATTGTGAGTGAGCTTGGACAGGATAGATCTCAGGTCAGTTTTTTGTTAGTGTTTGGGTTATTAGAGATTGTATATGCCATCCTGCATGTCGAAAGGTCCTTGATGAACCCATAGAGGGACGTACTTTTCGGTGTGGGTTCCGTATGTACCATTATCATTCTGAATCTTTTGACGAGATCAGTGCAAGAGTATTATTTATAAAACATTGGGTCAGGATTAGAGCGAGGATTCTCCAGTGAAGTCAAAGATCAGTGGTTCTATCATTGTTTGGATATTTTCATTAGCTACCTACGGAAGAACTTTGGAGTTCAAGGCACTACCATTGCTAGGAAAGGACCGGTAGCATGAAGACAGTGGACTCGGTTGCGAGTGTTAAATGTATGGGTGTCCAGTCATTGAATAACTGAGAATAATTGCATTTTTGCATGGGTTGTGCTCGGTTAGAGTTTAGTAATGATGCGAGAATGAAAGTGAGAACGAGGATTCGTCAGTCAGAGTGAAGATTAAGGTCTATGGTTATCAACATGGGAGGTGGATTGAGGTGTCAGGCTGGACCAAATTTCATGAGTACTCTTCAAGATTGCAAAAGATCAGCAATCTTAGGATGTAACCGGTGATTGATCGCTAGCATTAGTAAGCACAGGGTGTCATCAGTGGGATACTAGGAAGCGAGAAGGATTGGGAGTCCTTCAATTCTCACGAACCGTGAAGACTTAATCGAAGCTAAGTAGGGGAGAATCGAGCAGGTGCCTAGGAGCAGAAGTAGGTGTGAAACTAGGATGTGTTTTGCATCCCCGTCAGGGGGAAAAGAGGTTGAGTGGCCGTGTAGGTTGAGGATTGGGTGAGTTGAAGTTTAGAAAATGTTCCAACGTCTGGTTCACATTTTTCGCTGGCATCTGTGACAACCCGAAATTTCCATTTTGTACGAACATTATCAAGTCAATAGAAGTTATAACAGTCATAGTAAATTTTCATTCTTTTCCGTATAAGTTTGAGTATTTCAAGATTTACACTTAAAGAGATATCCGGAGAGTGGATACACTAGGGTTTTGTGCAACACGGTTATTCCAAAACTCTATTATATTAGAGTTCATTGCGTGAATAAAAATATTTTCTGTCAAAAATCCCAGGACTGTAAATATGATTCTTAACCAAAATATTTCATTAGTTACATTTTCAACTAGAGAAAAGCCATTTCTCTTTCACGGATCTTCGGGTTTTCATTCCAAATCGTGAGTACCTTTCTCTAGTTGTATTATACATCTTATTAAGTGCTTAATAACATAGAAATCATAACAAAAACATAAGATTTGTGAGTTTACCGCCCAACAACACCTTGGGGATTAAACTCCTTTTCAAGGGTTAAACGATGCCTAGTCCTTTCCCCGTGATATGTAACCACCTTAGGCTTGTATGCTAGTGTTGTTAAGGCTATAAATCATCCAAGAACACCAAGATTTAGGTGTTCATGGCCCAAGAAGTTCTTGGACCGTGAACTCCAAATTCAAAGGCCAAAGAGTGCCTTAATCACTCCTAAAGCCTTGGACAATAGCCTTGAATTGTTTCTAGTGAATTAAGGGACTTTAAATCATCAAATTCCCATCCCCATGGGAGATTACGATCGTAATCTCTAAGGGAAAAGGTCCTTGGGCCGTGAACATCAAGAAAGGGCACCAAAGTGTGCCTAAGGCCTTCATTAGCCTTAGATAAATGTCTAAAACATATCCTACATGAGCATGGGGCTTGAAAGCATAAAAACATCCCTCTTTATATGAGTTTACGGCAGTAAACTCAAAGGGAATTGGCCTTGGGGTCGTAAACTCCTCAAAGGAGTGTATAAATGCCCTAAGCCCTTCCAAGGATTAAACCACCAAGTAGAATTGCTTATAGGGATCATGTAACACTTCAAAACACCTAATGACATTAGAATTAGGAGTTCACGACCGTAAAATCAAGGGTTTACGACCATAAACTCCTTGTGTGGGGTTTACTGGAGAGTAAACTCAAGTATGAGGTCCCTTGGAACCCTAAACTCACTAGCCTTGTCCCACAACAACTTAGATGCAATCCTTAGGGCTTATAACACTTATATAAAGTGTTTATTATGTTATAGGATGTCTTAACATTATCAATTAGTAGTTTAAGACTAATTGGATACATATATGTGGTATTATATGCTAATTAGGGTTATAAAGTGTGTTCAAGACTTCACTTGTCACCTAGCGATCCTACATCCTCAGTTCATTCGTACCACTCACTACAGGTGAGTTCATACCCCTTAACCAATGATTTAAATGTTTTTAAATGCTTTATGGGGGGGATACAAGTTAAATACTTATAGTTATGACATCAATCACATGTGATTAATAACTACAAAACCAGTGATTTCTTACTGTTCAAACTGTTTATCAAACCGTATTGTTTCAAACTGTTTTACAAACTGTTTTACTTATCAAATACTTTTACTTAAACTCTTTTATACTTATTATTAATTGCATGTCTATGTATGTATAGTTATATAATACTTAAAAGGCTTAGGAAGTCCTGCCCACCCTATTTCCTTTTCGCGCTTGAGATGTGGTATGGTGGGATGTCGGGTATCCGTCCGAAGTTCATTTAAATATTAATTATATATCATGTGTACATATATAGTCATAAAGGTCCTTCCAGTTCATTCAGTACCTTTGGGTAGCAAGGGTATACTTCCATGTTCATATGTACCAGTTACATCACTAGTAAGTTACCATAAGGGTAGCACAGGAGGATACTAATACTATAACTATAACAATGAAACATACAATGAGTCAGTTCATTCATGAGTTAGTTCGAGTAGTACTCACAGTACATTACTATAAATGCTAGATAAAGAGATAACACACATTACAACTACTACACACAATACATTACTATACATGCTAGATAGAGAGAACATACATTACAGCTAACACACGCAAAACATTTCAGTACATACACGCTAGACAGAGAATGATTACACTTTCAGTTAGCACATTCATTACATATACATTTATGCAGTTATGTGAGCCATTGAGCGGGTCATGGCACTTCCTGCCACAATCGTTCTTGTATCCCGAATCTCCTTAATTGGAGAGCGTATGAGTTTGCATATAGATCTATACTGGATTGACTATCCTACACTTTGATGCTCGCTACAGTGGGACTTGCAAGTCTACGGGTGCCAAATGTCATTTCTTACGACGTCTTACATAGTCGTTTTACTAGAGTCGGTAGCAGGATACAGGTCGATCACATGTTATTTGGAACACCTTTTTGTGTTAAGGTAGTTAGTACCACGGTAGTCACTTATTACAAATACTACGGTACGATAATATTTTCCCATTACATTCACTTCGTGAATATTCACACAGTGCATGGTAATGTAGTAACTATATTTTTGGTTAATGATAGTCAGAAATGGGGAAACACACACTCTAACAAGAGACATACACACGGACACGAGATGCCTTGGTAGAAGGCTACAATTAGTAGGAAACATAGGGTTTTCTAGGAGAGTTCAAACATTATACAAAACATTGTACAAAACATCTTACAGAAACAACTTTCAAACGCTTTCATACAAACTCAGACATTAATATACTTATGATCTCACCAGCATTAAGCTGATACTCTCTTTCAAAATAACTTGTATTCTCAGGTCACCACTAGACAGGTACAGGTGCCAGGCTTTTGAGAATATGGATTTCGTTCAAGACT